TAACTAACTAACTAACTAACTAACTAACTAACTAACTAACTAACTAACTAACTAACTAACTAACTAACTAACTAACTAACTAACTAACTAACTAACTAACTAACTAACTAACTAAATAAAGTCCCAGAGTCCTCAACCCAGAGGGAAACCTGGGACTGGATACACAGACCGACATGTGGACGTGGCTCCAACCAAATTTCCTCTCAAAATATGACCAATTCAGTACCAGTAGATTTGATTATTGAGCATTATAAAATAAGTAGAAGTTCCACTTTTAGCAGAGTATAAGAACAAAGTGGTAATGATGCTTTTCTAACTAAAGACCCCTGAAAACTGAGCGTTGGATTTTTTTATTTAGGTTTCTATTACTTTGTGTACCACTCATCTAAGAAGAGAGGACATGAAAATAAATTAGCCATGAAATTCAGATGAGTGTCAGAAATAGGTTTGCTTCCCCTCTTATGAGTTCAGCGTTTGCAGAAACACGACTGGGACAGATGTGTGGACAGATCTGTGGACAGATGTTGGAGTTTCTCTGATTACACGCTCACAGCTGTTAGACTAGTGGATCTGTAAAGAGATTCTGAGCATGGTGGAGCTTTTCCACCTGAAATGTTCCCGAATGTGTGCATTTTGGGATTGTGATGGATTTAAATTCAGTTTATATGGAGGCATTTTACTGAGAAATTTCATTTCAATTCAATTTTATTTATACAGCACCACATCACAACAACAGTTGTCTCACAGCGCTTTCCAAACAGAGAAACTCAGACCCAACTCTGAAGTTAACTACAGAAACCCAACAATTCCCACCATGAACAAACACTAGGCGACACAGGCAAGGAAAAACTTCCTTTTAACAGGCAGAAACCTGGAGCAGAACCATGGCTCAGGGTGGGTGTGAGAGAGAGAGAGGGCGAGAGAAGGACAGAGGGAGCAGAGAGAGTCCGCCAACACAGCAACACATACACTAGATGAAAAATAGCAATGATATTAATACTAATGATGATGGTAGAACTTATGACAGAAATAACACTATGCAGAGTAGTAGCAGAGCAGGAACACGGGGGCAGCAGGAAACTCCCAACCACAGATCCAGACTCCACTGCTCCAGAGCCAGGAATATCTGCAGAAAGTGATAGGAGGAGAGAGGAGAGAGAAAGCACACGACTACGGGGAAGGGAGAGAGTCCAGAAATGTCGCCCAGCTAAGGATCCGATCCTGAGTGGGCAGGACTGAGGACAGGAAACAGGCTCGGGACGGGTGCTTAGATAGAAAAAAGGGGGAAAAACAAGTTGAGAACACGAACAATGTCACAGGAATGTGCCGAAAAACCAAAAAGGAGAAAGCAGAAAAGGTGAATCATGGGAGCCCCCCCCTCAGAAAGGACTCAGATGTGGAAATAGAGTAACAAAAGGTTTATTAAACTCAAAACGCACTCGCTAGGAGTGGAAGCAAAGTACAAAATAAAGATCACTCAAGGAGTATAGATTCAGAAAAGTAACAAATCAGGAACACTCGAAAAACAAGGTGGAAAAAGCTCATGAACAAAGTAACAATACTCACGAGGAGTCAGACAAAATAAGGAGGACCAAAATCAAAATCAGTCTTTCGAGGAATAACGAAGTTCAAGGTGCAATGCAAAGAATAGTTTAGTCCTTTAATAAACAAATAGTCCTTTGGTTTCTCAGTAGGACTCAGTGGGACTAAAACCCACTGGCCCCAGACAAGGGGAAACACAAACTATTTAACCCATGAGGGGAAGGGAACCCCAGGGGAACACAATAGGTGATCAGAAACAACTGGACAGGTAAAGTGACCCTTATTACAAAAATAAAACAGGAAGTGACGAGACCACATGGAGACAGGACTAAAAAACCCCATCTAGATAACATCTGGGTCTATAGCAGCAGAACTATGGGCTGTTTTAGGGTCCCTGATCCATCTCTAACTATCAGATTTATCAAAAAGGAAAGTTTCCCGCCTGTTCTCGAAGGTAGAACCCAAACCGGTTCCACGGAGAGGATCCGGATGCCTGGAGGCTTTTACAAACTCTAGGAACCACAAATCTCTCGAAGGTTCGATATCTTTTTTTTCTTTTTTTTAAACTTTGTTTATTGAACATTTTGAATATAAGACAGACACTGTTGGGACAAATTCAAAGTGTCGATGCAATCTCAATGTCACAGTTCTGTCAACCCCCAATCCACCCACAGGCCAAAAAATAAATAAATAAACAAATAAACAAATTAATAAATAAACAAAGAAAAAAAGGGTATAAATAAATCAATAAATAAATAAATAAATAAATAAATAAAAAGTATTAAGAGAAAAACAGATAAGAAAAAAAAAAGGGGTAGACATGAATGTAAATGTAGATAGATAAGATCATGTTAGACATTCAAGTATAAAGGTTCGATATCTAAGGAGTTTTCCTAAAGAGAATCCTTTCACATCTGGGTTTGCATTCACATCTGCCTTTTAGATAAAGATATCCAGAACTTTCTGCTGGTCTAAAGCCGATGAAAAATGGCCGCACGGTTCTAAGATGCAGGTCTCGCTCTGAATAACTAAACAATTAGATAAGATGTGCCAAGATATCTGTAAATCGATGAGCTGACTGAAGGTGTGAGATAAGCCCCCGGCCACTCGATAACTTAATTAAGCAAATTTCCTCTAAATTCCAAGAGAGCGATGAGAGGATCCAAACGCAGGTGGACAGGAGGGAACTATTTTAATTAAGTTCATTCAGCAACAACAAAAGGCCAAACAAAAGAGACGGAAAACCGAAAACCTGACTGAGGACGAACCCAAACGGACCCGAGAGCAAAGTCAAGTATGAAGACCACAAAGACGAGGTCAGGATAAAGAAAAGGGATTAAAAAAAGCACCAGTGCCACAAAAAACAGAAACCCGGAAAAAAAAGCTAAACAAGAGAACTCAAAAGAGAGAAAAATTTCACAAAAAAAGCTAAATAAGAGAACTCAAAAGAGGAAAAAAAATGAAAATAAAGGAAAAAATGCACAAAAAAAAGCAAAACAATAGAACCAAAAGAGGGAAAAAACAGAAAAAATTCACAAATGTGTCCTTTAAAAAGTCGTATACTGATTTATGTTCGTTCACAGTTTTAAACTTGTTTTCTGTGAGTCTTCGGGTCACACTCATACAAGTGTTGTGCACCAAACACCAAGTCAAAAACCTACTTGGAAATAAACCTTATTCTGATTCTGATTCTGATTCTGATTCGGCCGACTTTTAGACGAAAACCCGACCCAAACGAACTCAGAACCGGGTCACTTAAACCCGTTAAATGGGGATCAAAGGCTCTTTCAAAACCCCGGATCCTAACCTGCTCTGTTAAAGTGTCTGGTCCTCGGGTTATCTCACTTCCTGAGTGGAGCTGGACCCTAATTGCCCCGAAACCTCCTCTGGTTTGGGTTTATGGAGGTGGGGGGGGG